ACCAGCGACTGAACAGTCCATTTTCTGGTAAACTGCTGGTGGTCTAAAACGATACCCCAAACGATACCTTAACGATACCCAAAATTTGCTCAGAGGCCGTTTATGGACCCATGCCCATTTGCTTTGCACAGACCGTGCTTGCCTGTGCCCACTTCCGATGAAGCACGCGCAACACACGTCTGCAGACGAGTCCCATACTGCACGCACAAACCGCCATGCACCCTCTCAAAGAAGCATACTTAGGCTCCGCGTGGAGCGACTGCTTCATCTAGTTTGCTTGCATCGTATGAACCCAAGAGTGCCACAGGTTCTTGATTTAGTCTAACATGTATAAAAGATACAGTCATGTGCCCAAAGTCTTGTAAAACGATACGGGAAACCCAAAAACGATACCACTTGTCAAGGGACCGCTTCTAGGAACAATAATATTGACGCGCGCTCGAGTAGAAACACATGGCACCACGAGGCATGCATACACTCGCCTGCATAGTCTGGCATACAGGGCATGAGCGGCAGTACTGTGTTCTCAACGCTATCGTTTCCAGGTTTGTGTCGATGGCTTCGTGTCGGGTCGGAGATGGCAGGATCAAGGTGCATGAAGACTAGGCAGCCCAGTTTATGCGCCACCTTTGCATCGCGCTGACATGTGGTGCTTGGACAGTCACTTGTGCAGAGTACACTGCATGCGTGAAGAGCTACTTGGAGAACTCGGGCTTCGGTGGCACCGTATCCCGGGTCAAGCTGCAGCTGGGCGAATACTATAGCCGCCCCTTTTACCAGATTGAAGAGATCTTCCTAGCAGCCGTGCATGCCTTGGAACGGTGTCGAGCGATAGGGGGGATGCTTTGGTCTGTCGAATTCCCGACGAACACATCGGGCACCAATTCTCGGGCGAAATGGGAGAAAGCCACATATTTGCGGCCGATGAGCATTGGTTTTTGTGCGCCCAGCATCTGCAAGACTCGGCAGATGCCACCACTGGTGGAGGACTACATCTCCAATTTCGTGGGTTTCCAAGCAGAGATACCGCCACACCGAATGCGTTTTGTAGAACTTAGCAGTTGGGAAGAGTTCAACATTCAGTTTGCAGTTGTTGGCCTCGACCACTGTGGGACAACTTCCGCTCGCATGAACTTGGGTTTGCATCCAAAGGTGGAATTCTCCACATCACAGGTCCCGATGCTCCTTGAGGACACGTTCTTCACCTGGGCAATCGCGTGGCATTTACTTCCACCAAAGTATCTTCAGAAGCATTGGCTGGAATTTAACAATGCACGACGACAAAGTTTATCTTCAGTGCTTGGACTCCACAATGCTGTGTTGTGGAAGCATTCCATCGCCCGCCTGGCCGTACACCAGATGAACGCTCGACCTGTGCTGATTGTGTGTTCACCGGCTCGCCGTCTTGCATCCACTGTGATGCTCCATCACTCCAGGACTGCAGAAACCGTGACAGTGGATGACCTGATGCGGTGGGCCGACGTGGATTCAATACCCCATCTCAGGGATTGGCGTCGCCTCTTTGGTCAGCGGCTGGTCGTCATCCATCAAGAACAACTGATGGAAAGACAAACCTATGACATGGTCTCTGCTCTTCTTGGGCTGGGTCCACTGCCCGCAGGTGCACCGCTGAGCCGCTTCCACGTCAGCGGCCACCACTGGAAGAGCAGCCTGTGTCAATGCAAAGACCACGCCTCGCTCCGTCAGCTGAATCGCACTCTCCGGCCCTGGATGATTGCCAACCAGCAACTCTTGCAGCAATCGAATCAAGACACGCCATCTTCCATTTGGCAGGTGCAAGGGCATTGCTTTGACAGGCCAGCTTCACTTTTGAAAGTCTCGACCGGGACGCTTCTGAATCGACCGACCGGCATGAGAAACATGCGCTGTCCTCCTAAACGTCCTCAGCAGCACCTAAACCTGACATGCCTGATCAGAGAAGCCCCGACACCTGAATCTTTCTGGTGGTTGTTCCGTTCCACGTCTCAAAAGGCAGATATAGCAGGCAGCAGAAGTTGTTCTTTCGTTGGGTTGGGTCTTGTGGCCTTGGGGTATGGCACGAAGACCGAAGGCCGAAGCGTGAGTTTAAGAAACTTATGGGACAAGAGAAGACTCCACCCAAGCTGCTGCAACCCTGAACCTTTGGCCCTCAACGGGATGCCAAGTGTTGGGAGGAATTCCCAAAGCCTGGCCATGCTCTGATCCTGGTCTCTTAGCAGGCTTGTGACCCGAAGCATGCGCGCTTTGGTTGCCACTCGCCTTGGCCAAGCACTTGCGCAGTGCACCCGCCATGTTGGAATGCGAAGTCAGGCCCCGCTTGCAGAGCAGCGAGTCCAATCCAAGATTCAATACATGGGTGTCAGAAAGTTGCCGAGCACGTGTTGCCCCGTGGACTTGAGTTACTGTGCATGGTGCAGGCAGCCAGATGCGGCAGCCGCGCTCAGGAACTGGCCAGGCGACACTGCCAGAGGATCGGAAAGGCTGTTTTTTGCCTAGGCCAGAACACAGGTGGGGAGGCAGCTGCAGCAAGAGTGTGGAGAACAACTGAGAACACCCACAGACTCTGATAGGCTCCACCCACTTGTCGACGGAATCGTCGTTTTGCATGATGCTACCCGAGGAGAACATTGAGTGCATGGCGGTCAGCGGCGGAACGTACAGCTCGGGCACGCCTTTGTTCCAGGGCGCTGGATGTCAGCCCCCTGCCGAATTTGTCATGTTGAGGGTCAAGTGATCACCACGATGGTGATTGTCATTTGTTGTTCCGGAGTCTGGTGAGATCCGTGAGGAGTCCATGTCTGCATATAAGTGAATCCGAGAAGCGCTGGTTCTCACCATCGCACATGCATGCAAAATATGCAAACACGGAAGAGTAGGCACCGTGAGGCTCTAGCAACTTCTGCTTCGATGAGTTTAAAACGGCAAGCTCTCAATGCTCGCCGGCTTGTGGAGGGCTCCGCTTGCTTTCGTGACCCTCCACAGTCAAAAACTATGTAAGGTCCATCACCAAAGTGTTGTCCAAGAGAGTGTCCCCGCAGTGTCTTGTGTGGCCTCCCAGTTTCGTGGTCGTGTTGGACGGGAAGATCAGAGTTCGATTTCGATGCTTGGGTTTCCCCCTGACAGCACTGGGTCAAGGCCTCCAACGATTCGGCAGTGCTACAGTTTGCCCAGGGCATGATCGGCTCGTAGGACCGCTCGTGGATAAGCGAACCAGAGTTATGCTACCGCTGAGCACTCGTTTGTGGGAGTTCAAACATGATTGCACTTCCGTCATGCCGTCGCACTTTGTCCTCATCTTGACGAGGGGCTGCTGGCCTCTGTTGCTCCGAAAACCCATGCTCAAGAGAGGACGCAGCTGCCCAGCCGTGTTCACAGCGCGGGCCAACGAGGCTCTTCTGTTTCACAGCTGGTGTCTTGCCTGATTTTGTCATAGGACCAGGAGTGAGGCCTTGATGCCAGCAAGTTTGCAGAGTGTCCCTCAGAAGTTTTGAGAGCATGGGCAACCCTGACAGTGGCTTCCGGAGCGACTCCCGAGCTTAAAGGCTCGGCTCCTGAAGTCGCAAGTTCGTGTAGAGCACTAGACACCTCGTGAACGGATTCAGTACACCGCACAGACTGCTGGGAGGAGCACAACAGGGTCGGGAACGAGTGAGCATGCTTAGCAAGGGGAAGACAGGAGGACCAGCAAAGCACATGAGAGCTTCGTTTGTTTCAGTTGGGAGCCTGCACCAAGGCGACTCTGTGCCCGCTGGGCTGCATGGTTCGACCGTGCCTGGCAGCGGAGTGCTGAGGTGCAGCTTCGGAAAGCCGGATATTCCCCTTTGTTTGCACAAGCGCTCTGTATGGTGTGAGTGGGCCTCGCATGTAGAAAGCAACTCTCCGAGGCCAAGGAGGACTAGGGGATAGCCACGTATGCCGGCGGGACATTTCCGCGATGGGTTCGTGAAAATCACGTGCTGGGCGTCAGCTTTGACGTACCTCCTGGAAGTAGGTATCTGGTTGTGTAGGTTATAGAGCAATTCCGTCCGTGCGGTGGGAAGCAAGCATGTGAAGACCGTACTGCCTCAAAATCTGCATCTCATATGAATAGATATAAATAACTGTTGCTTGTCGCTTCGTCCTTAGCTCCCTTCGGTCAGTAGATGATTCCACGTTTGCTTCAGGGCACTGGCCACTACAGCCCATCTGATCTTCAGAACTGCTCCCCCCAGCTCCCCAAGGCCAGGGGTTCTTGAAATTATTAATATGACGTCATGAATGAAGACAAGCATACAATGTACTTCGTTGCAAAGACTGGTCCGAGCTTTCTTCGCTTTCCGGCCCGTGCTCATCTCAGAAGTTCAGGTACTTACGCAGAACTTCCGCGATGCATGCCCCGAAGGCAGCAGCCCTTAAGAAGCCTTTGAGAAATTTAAGGCACGCAAGCAGCCTCTGAGAAACCCATAAACAGTCTTCGGCTTCACGAAGCTACAAGAAACGGCTGAAGCTTCTGGCCACTCAGAAGCCCCTGAAGAGTTCTTCATAATTTGGAGCTGTTGACTGAAAAAGATATGGAGGAATGAGTTCGGGATAGCACAAACTTTTGCCACACCACTTTTCTCGCACAACTGAGGACATGTAGATGAGCAACCACGTCTGTATGAATCTGTATGACTGCGATATACATTGTTTGTAAAGCTTAATTTACATGGCTGTATGTAGGCTGATTTTTCCCGCTGCATGCTCAGCGATTCCAAAGCTGCATAAAGGTGCGGTCCGATCTTCTTCTGGAGTCGCAACAACTACAGGATGAGCTGAGGCACGACCGCGCCTGGGAGTTCTCGGGTTTGCTCCGCTGAGCTTCCAACATGCGCCAAACGTTGAGCACTTGAGGCCACTCACCTCCCGTAGAATCCCACATACAAACCTACACTAAGAGCCCTTCGAGCACAACGTCGGCCTGACTTCGCGCAGAGCAGAGCTTCTAAAATTGTGCACAGTGAGAGATGCTACAGAATTGGACCATCATGTTGAGGCGGCAGCACAGCCGCGCTGAGCGTAACGCGGAGGACCAGGGACATAAAGAGCGTTTGCTGAAACTTTGTGCGAAGGAAGCCAGGTTCTGTTATGACAAGCAGAGCTTCACAGAGTCCAGTAGAGTTTCACTGGGAGAAGCACAGGAGTTGCAGCACCTGAAGGGTAAATACCAGCATCGGCAAGCTCGCGGACATAGTCATGACAGCACCGTGGCTGCGGCGATACTGCTTCGGTTGTTGAGGTTTTGCATCGAGTCGTCATGCTCCAGCTCTCGTAGATCTCTAACACGAGAAATCGAGTTTTCTGCTTCCTTCGCCCCAGTCCGAAGCACGAGCTGCTGGCATGCCGCTCCGAACCGGCCAGACAATCTTGGGCCCCCACAAGCCGAGGAGTCATGGAACCTGTGGCCGCAGAGACGGAACCGGTGGCTGTTCAGAGCGAAGAGCGCGATGCCGGGCTGGTGGCAGTGCTGCGCCGACGAGGTTCGTCGGCTTCAAGCGCAAGAACAGAGAAACCAAACGCAAACTAGTACCGCGATACCAGAGCCAAAGGCAGAGCGAATTCGCTGATTGAAGAGCAAGTCCAGGAAGCATCGATGCCGAACTGTTGGCGGTTCCACTCGGAAGCTCTCGACGAAGGTGATCGATTACTAGCGGTGTTTGGAATCAGGACGAAAAACGAGAGGAGCGAAGTGTGGGAGAGGCGTTGAGCTCAGCTTTCGGAGCAGAGTGCCAGAGAGATTTGTGCAGGACCCCGGCCTTGGTAGCCAAGCATAAGTTTACTAAAGTTACAGCAGAGACGGCATTGAGGAGCTAGCGTAGGATATGATCTCGAGGGCTGGGAGACAGGAAGTACCACCTGCATTATATGAGGTAATTGGATATTACCGCTTGTTTGATTTTATGATTTCTTCAAGCATAACAACGGCAAAACAGAGACGAAATTTGAAATATTTCTCATTATTGATTATGACGTTTTTTTTTACGATTTAGCGAGACGGTGGGATACACATTAAAGGAGAAAACTAATACAGATAAAGGTTGATTGATGATATTGAAGAAATCATTATATGAATGAATTCATTTTTACGAATCATGCTAAATCGACAATCTATTCGATTTGAATCAGATTATCTACTACAATCAATTTATTAATTTCATATATAATTCTTCCTATAGATAGTTATATTTATGTCGGCGAGACAAGTTAGTATTGGTGAGAATTCTGCATCTATAAAACATAAAATAAACGTGAATTAAAAGTCATCGACCCTA